AGGAAGAGGAGGAGGAAGAGGAGGAGGAGGAGGAGGAGGAGGACCCCCTCCTCTGCGTGAGCCGAAAAGCTTGAGCCAAAATGGCTACGGAGGGGGGGGGAGGAGGAGGAGGAAGAGGAGGAGGGTGAGGGGGAGGAGGACAAGCTAGGTGCGCTCGCGTCATATCTGACATCCTACCCCTCCCTCCCATCCCTTACCATGGCGTAGATCCCCTCTCTACTCGCACAGTCGGATGTCGAGCAGGGCAATGATCCCGAAAGGGTACGCGATGCATTGTAGAGCACGGCGTGGCATGGCGTAGAAGAGCACCGCAAAGCGTAGTATGTCAAAGCATGGCGTGGCGTGGCGTAGTGAAGAATTGCATCACAAAGCTTTGTAACGCAAAGCATGGCATCGCACAGCGGCCCCGAACATAACATTGCATAGCATGGCGTTGAAGATCAAAGCGTAGCATGGCAGAGCACGACGTGGCACTTAAACACTGCATATCACAGCTTCAGCTGAAGGCATGGCATCGTGCAGCGGAACGCAACCTAGCATTGCATTGCATGCCGTGGCATGGCACGGGAAATGACGACAACGCTGCAGCGGGAGCACGATTCGGAACGAGCGGAAGCGCGGAAATGAGGCCAGCGCTGCAGCGGGAGCACGATTCGGAACGAGCGGAAGCACGGAAATGAGGCCAGCGCTGCAGCGGGAACACGATTCGGAACGAGCGGGGCCCGAAAATGAGGCCGGCGCCTCAGCGAGAGCAGCATTTTAAAACAAATGCAAGCGAAAACCCAACTCCAGGGAATCCTGTGTGTAATTACGCCACCGAGGAGCCCCACATACTTAATTTAAATCTTATGTGCTTGCTTAAGTTTATCATATATGCGCAATTTTGCGTTCTCAGCCCTCGTCGCGAATGTTCCCCACTGTGTCATCCAACGCCATATTGCTTGAACCTCCTCCCTCTTCCTAGCCTTCAATCCTCCATCGAGGACAAATTCGAGCCAGCCAGCGGCCGCGGTGAGGGACCACCCCCTGCGCACCCTCTATGGTGTCGGGAAAGTGCCACGCCTGCTACGCCCCGGACGACCGTCGTGCATGGCGGCCGCGGTGAGGGACCACCCCCTGCGCAGCCTTTATGGTGTCGAGAAAATGCCGCGCCTGCTATGCCCTGGACGACCGTCGTGCATAGCGGCCACGGTGAGGGACCACCCCGGTGAGAGACCACCCCCTGCGCACCCCCTCTGGTGTCGAGAAAGTGCCACGCCTGCTAAGCCCTGCGACATTGGCGCGTATAGAGACCGCGGTGAGAGACCACCCCCGTGCGCACCCCCTCTGGTGTCGAGAAAATGCCACGCCTGCTAGGCCCTGCGACATTGGCGCGTATAGGGGCCGCGGTGAGAGACCACCCCCTTGCGCAGCCCCCGCGGTGTCGAGAAAGTGCCACGCCTGCTAGGCCCTGCGACATTGGCGCGTATAGGGACCGCGGTGAGAGACCACCCCCTGCGCGCCCCCTCTGGTGTCGAGGAAGTGCCACGCCTGCTAGACCCTGCGACATTGGCGCGTATAGGGACCGCGGTGAGTGACCACCCCCTGCGCACCCCCTGCGGTGTCGAGAAAGTGCCATGCCTGCTAGGCCCTGCGACATTGGCACGTATAGGGACCGCGGTGAGAGACCACCCCCTGCGCACCCCCTCGGTGTCGAGAAAGTGCCACGCCTGCTAGGCCCTGCGACATTGGCGCGTATCGGGACCGCGGTGTGAGACCACCCCCTGGGCACGCTACCCAGGCCCTGCGTCTGGCGCGTATGGAGACGCGGTGGAGAACCACCCCTGCGCACCCTCTTTGGTGTCGAGAAAGTACCACGCCTGCCGCGCTCTCCGACCCTGGCTCGCATAGACGCCGCGGTGAGAGACCACCCCTGCGCACCCTCTCTGGTGTCGAGAAAGTGCCACGCCTGCTCGGCACTGCGACATTGGTAGGCACTGCGACATTGGAGCGTATAGGGACCGCGTGTGAGAGACCACCCCTGCGCACCCCTCCCAGTGTCGAGAATGTGCCATGCCTGCTAGGCCCTGCGGACATTGGCACGTACATAGCGGCGACGGTGAGTGACCACCCCCTGCGCACCCCCTCTGGTGTCGAGAAAGTGCCACGCCTGCTAGGCCCTGCGAAATTGGCGCGTAGAGCCCGCGGTAAGAGACCACCCCCTGCGCACCCACTCTGGTGTCGAGAAGTGCCACGCCTGCTAGGCCCTGCGACATTGGCGCGTATAGAGACCGCGGTGAGAGACCACCCCCTGCGCACCCCCTCCGGTGTCGAGAAAGTGCCACGCCTGCTAGGCCCTGCGACATTGGCGCGTATAGAGACCGCGGTGAGAGACCACCCCCTGCGCACCCCCTCTGGTGTCGAGAAAGTGCCACGCCTGCTAGGCCCTGCGACATTGGCGCGTATAGGGACCGCGGTGAGAGACCACCCCCTGCGCACCCGTGGCGTCGAGAAAGTATAGGTATAGAGCCGCGGTGAGCCACCCCTGCGCACCCCACCTGCTAGGCCTTGCGACATTGGCGCGTATAACCGCGGTGAGACCACCCCCTGCGCACCCCCTCTGGTGTCGAGAAAGTGCCACGCCTGCTAGGCCCTGCGACATTGGCGCGTATAGAGACCGCGGTGAGAGACCCACCCCCTGCGCACCCCCCTGCCACGCCTGCTAGGCCCTGCGACATTGGCGCGTATAGGACCGCGGTGAGAGACCACCCCCTGCGCCCCCCTCCGGTGTCGAGAAAGTGCCACGCCTGCTAGGCCCTGCGACATTGGCGCGTATAGGGACCGCGGTGAGAGACCACCCCCTGCGCACCCCCTCTGGTGTCGAGAAAGTGCCACGCCTGCTAGGCCCTGCGACATTGGCGCGTATAGAGACCGCGGTGAGAGACCACCCCCTGCGCACCCCCTCCGGTGTCGAGAAAGTGCCACGCCTGCTAGGCCCTGCGACATTGGCGCGTATAGGGACCGCGGTGAGAGACCACCCCCTGCGCACCCCCTCCGGTGTCGAGAAAGTGCCACGCCTGCTAGGCCCTGCGACATTGGCGCGTATAGGGACCGCGGTGAGAGACCACCCCCTGCGCACCCCCTCCGGTGTCGAGAAAGTGCCACGCCTGCTAGGCCCTGCGACATTGGCGCGTATAGAGACCGCGGTGAGAGACCACCCCCTGCGCACCCCCTGTGGTGTCGAGAAAGTGCCACGCCTGCTAGGCCCTGCGACATTGGCGCGTATAGGGACCGCGGTGAGAGACCACCCCCTGGCACCCCTCCGGTGTCGAGAAAGTGCCACGCCTGCTAGGCCCTGCGACATTGGCGCGTATAGGGGCCGCGGTGAGAGACCACCCCCTGCGCACCCCCTCCGGTGTCGAGAAAGTGCCACGCCTGCCGTGCCCTGCGCCATGGCCTGCATAGAGCCTCCTGCCATCCACTGCGATTCCTACACGCACGTCTTTTATATGGCATGGTATGTGTATGTGTATGATGCGTGTGCGGCTATATCGGGACGTGTCTCATGTGGGTGCCCACTATGTCGCGCACACGCCTCAATGGACGCTGCAGTGATCACGCCAGGCGCGCACTAGCGTTGTATGGTGTGTGTGTGTTTTGTGCGAGTGTGTGCATGCGCGCGGCCGTATGTAGACGCGTGTCTCATGTACTTGCCGTGCACGCGTTGAGCGCGGGTGAGGAGAGGAAGGAGGAGAGAGGAGATGAGGTGTGAGGTGAGGTGAGACGCGGGTGCGCCGCGGCAGGGAAGAAAACCAGAACCCCACGAAACATGTGGGGAAAAAACAGCATGCGGGGGGGGGGGGGGGGGGCGAACACTCCCAACCCGTCATCAGGAGAAGGAGGCGAGTACTATTCATATTGAATAATTGTGGAGAGGAGGAGGAGGACGAGGAGGAGGAGGGGGAGGAGGAGGAGGAGGAGGAGGAGGAGGAGGAGGAGGAGGAGGAGGAGGAGGGGGAGGAGGAGGAGGAGGAGGAGGAGGAGGAGCAGACGAACGTAGAGAGAACAGGAGCAGGAGGAGAAGGATGACCAGTGTAGACCCACGACGCATCAACCATGTTGCAAGTACTCCCCCTGCCAAGTTCACTCTTCATTGATCCCTGAAAGGACTCATCTTCACTGCGGAAAGTGCCCCATTGAAAGACAACCGGCTGAGAATCCTTAGTCGTGCCAAACTACAATTCCTGGGATTCCAGCGACGCGAATCAACGCGACTGCTGCGTTTTGACGGCCCTGAAAACGTGCCGGAACACCACTCCTGGGATTTCATGATCTTTCAAGGCGAATGTGCGAGGCGCTGAGGCGAGAGCCGCATTTTGAAAAGGAACCGCCCGCCGTCTTTGAAACTGTTACCAAATTTTCATACGAATGTGCGCAGCGCCGAGGCAACAGTCACGTGTTGAAAACCAGCCGCCCTCCATCCTCGAAGCTGCTGCAAACTTTGAAGACGGGTGTGCGCGGCGCTTAGAGCGAGAGCCACATGTCGAAACGGGCCCGCCCCCCATCCCTAAAACCGTGACGGGTGTCAAAAGCTTTAGGGATCACAAACGGTGCGGCAGTCTCAAGCGAAACACCTGGCCTGCCCAAGCGACACGTCTGGGGGTGCGACTGGGAGGACATATGTATCACAACAAAAAATGAAGGAGGAGAAGGAGGAGGAGGAGGAGGAGGAGGAGGGGGGAGGGAAGGAGGAAGAGGAGGGTGAGGAGGAGGAGGAGGGAGAAGAGGAAGAGGAGGAGGACGAGGAGGAGGAGGACTCCAGCACGACAATACCCGAGGATGGGGAGGAGGAGGAGGAGGAGGAAGAGGAGGTGGAGGAGGAGGTAGAAGAGGAGGAGGAAAGACGGAGGGGGAGGGGGAGAAAGGCGGATGGGAATGAGGAAGACGGAAGAGGAGGAGGAGGAGAAGGAGGAGGCGGGGAAAGGGGAGGTGGAGGACGAGGGGCATGAGGAGAAGGACTCCTCTGGCAGGTCGACACCGGGCTGCTGGTTGTCGCGGGAGGCGACGCGACACCGTGGCTCGTCCTCGCCATGCGGCGCTGGCTGGGCGGCTTCGTCTTCGAAGTCCTGGCGGGGTCTCTTCCTCTTCCCCCCTTTATAGTCATCATCATTATCACCATCCTCCTTCCTCCTCCGTCCTACTTCCCCCCGCCTCTGGGTCTCACATTGTTCGCCTCCTCATCATCATCAGCAGCAGCATAATCATCATGATAATCATGATCGTGATCATGATCATGATCATGATCATGATCATCATCATCATCATCCCTTCGCCTCCTCATCCTTTCTCCTCCTCCTCCTCATCATCATCATCAGCATCAGCATCATCATCACCAGCATCAGTATCATGATCATGATGATCATGATGATCATCATCATCATCATCATCATCATCATCATCATCATCATCATCATCATCATAATCGTCATCATCAGCATCATCATCATCCTCATCCTCATCCTCATCATCATCATCATAGTCATCATCATAGTCATCATCATCGTCATCATCATCATCATCATCATCATCGACGTCGTTAGCATCATCGTTATCAGCATCATCGACATCAACATCATCATGATCATCACCGTCACCATCATCATCATCATCATCATCAGTACCACCATCATCATTATACCATGACCATGAACATGACCATGACCGTCACCATCACCATCACATCAGCAGTATCATCACCATCATCATTACCACTATATCATTATCATCACCATCATCACCACCACAATCACAATCATCATCATCATGATCATCATCATCATCATTATCAGCATCGCCATCATCAGCACCATCACCATCGTCATCATCATCATCAGCAGTACCAGCATCATCATTAAACCATCACCATCACCATCACCATCACCATCACCATTATTCCGCATCATCATCGACATTATCATCACCACGATCAGCATCATCATCACCACCAACATCACCACCACAATCACAATCAGCATCATCATTACCATCATCAGCACCGTCACCATCACCATCATCATCATCAGCAGCAACAGCAGCAACATCATCATCATCGTCGTCGTCGTCGTTGTCATCGTCATCGCCGCCGTCGTTGTCATCATAATTAGTAGCATCAGCAGCATCAGCATCATCATCCTCATCATCCACATCATCATCCTCGTCATCACCATCATCATCGTCATCAGATGCATCCGAATGATCATCATCAGCAGCAGCATCACTTGCGCATCTGCTCACCAGTTCATCTGCACATGTTTAGTATCCTCATCATCCGCAGCATGATCATCATCGTGATCAATATCATCACCGTTGTCGTCGTTGTCATCGTCGTCATCGACATCGTCATCATCATCATCAGCATCGTCAGCATCGCCATCAACACCATAAGTATCATCGTCGCCACCGTCACCATCAACAGCAACAGCAACATCAGCATCATCATCATCAGCATCATCATCAGGTTCATTGTCATCACCGTCGTGATCACCATCACCATCGTAATCACCACCAGCACCGCCACCATCGTCGGCATCATCGTCATGGTCAGCATAGGCCGCATCCTGGCCATTAGCACTTTGGCCATCAGCATAAGCATTAGCTCAGCAGCGGCAAGATCGTCGTCGTCCTCACTAGCATCCCCCTCGTAAGCATCATCATCATCATCATCGTCGTCGCCACCTGCAGCAACATGATCCGCATCATCGTCTGGTCACCGCTGCCTCCATCATCATCACGACCACCATCATCATCATCATCATCATCATCATCATCAGCATCATCATCATCTCCATCATCATCACCAGCATCGTCATCAGCATCAGCACTGGCATCATCGTCAGCAGATTCATCAGAACCAGCGGCATCAACAGCAGCATCATCATGGCTATTATCAGACTGGCTCTGGAAAAGCATCCTCAGCAGAAACATCACCGCCAGCATCTCCACCATCATCATCAGCATCACCATCAGATGCATCGTCACCATCAGCATCGTCGTCGTCGGCACCATCATCATCATCAGCAGCAACAACAACATCGCCAGCATCATCATAATAATCACCGTCAGCATCGACATCGTCATCGTCGTCATCATCACCATAACTCCCAGCATAATCATCATCACAATCATCAGCAGCATCATCATCATCGGCATTATCATCATCGTCCCCACCATCATCATCACGATAACCACGATACCCTCACCACCATCCTGACCCATCCTCCGACCCCTCCTCCCTTCCCTGTTATCTCGCCGTCCTCGTCAAACCCGCTCCCGTGTGAACAACTCCTCATCGTAGCGCAACCAGACGTGTGTTGGTAGGGCAGGTTGGGCGAGCGTTTCGCCTGAGACGTCCTTACCACTCCTGACCCTGGAGCTTGAAAAAAGTCCAAGTGATCTATTGATGGAGGGTGGCGCCTTCCCCAAACAGGCTCTCGACTTGGCGCCGCGCACACTCGCAGCAACATCCCACAAACCTACACGTATGGCAGGCAAGTAGTTGTGTTCACGTGGCGTTTGCCTCGGCGCCGCGCGCACTCGTCGCAAAAACTCTAGCGGGCTGTTCGGATGCAGGGCAGCTCCTTCTTCAAAATGAGGAGTCGGGGGGCATCGCTTGAGCTTAAGCGGGCTGGTGCGGCTCAAATGTTAAAAGTGTGCGGCTCGGGGGCGGCCCCTGCTAAAAAATAGGTTCTTCGCTGGCCGCTGCGGTCAACTGCATGGTCTATATGTCCATATAGAATGTATACGACTACCCTTCGGGTGACAAGGAGGTTCGGTGAGGGAGGAGCCAACATCTCCATGATTCGAACTCACGGTCGATCTCACGATCGATCTTAACATCGATCTCACGATCGGCTCTCACCATCGATCTAACGATCGATCCAACGATCGATGTCACTATCGATCTCACTATCGATATCACCCTGTCGATCTCAATATCGTCACTGCCGATCACACGAATTATCAATCTCACTGTCGATCCCACTATCGATCTCTCTTTGGATTTCACGATCACCCCCAAGATCGCCCTCATTATCGGTCCCACTGTCGATCTCGCGATCGGCTGCACGATAGATGTCACAACGGGGCACCGACGGGACACCGACGTGACACCGACGGGATACCGACATATGACATTACTATCCCTTTTCACCGTCGACCTCACTCCATCGATCTCACTCTAGACTTCATCCCCTGTCTTACTGTCGACATTACGACCGATCTCACGATCGATTCCCCTATCAATCTCACGATCGCTCTAACGATCGCTCGCACGATCGGTCTCACGACCGATCCCATTATAAATCTCACTACGGCACACCGACGGGGCACCGACGGGACACCGACGGAACACCGATGGGACACCGACGGGACACCGACGGGACACCAACGGGACACCATAGGACACCACAGGACAACACGGCACACCGTCGAGGCACCACGGCGGGACACCCGCGGCCACCGCCGGACAACCCAAGGGGGGGCGCTCTTTCGGCGCAGCAGCGCCCTAGCCAAAGGAGGGTTCATTCCTCTCGCCCGCCCACGCAGCTTCGCCTCGCCCGCACGCACGAGACGAACACGAAACCGAAGTCGACTTCCCGGTGGGAGGGCTCCCCGTGTCACTGCGATCTCAGCCCCTCACCTCCGATGCATGCCCTGCAGGCAGAAGATTAAGGCGCGTGCTTTCAGAATGAGAAGTCAGGGGCATCGTTTGAGCTTAATCGGGCTACTGTGGCTCGAATGGTGAGAATGTGCGGTTCAAGGGCGGCCCCCGCTTCAAAAATGTGGTTGTCGCTGGCCCCCTTCCGTGAACGACAAGATAATACATACATTAAAACCATGCGCGTTACGCGCAGGCTGAGGTTCTACTCACGCCAGGCCATGGCTCTCGTTTTCGATCGCGTCATGAGCGACACTGCGAATCTCCCCACAGGTGGATCTGCGGAGCCTCCGTCCGCCTCGGCCCTCTCCTGTCCTCGTCCCTCTCAGTCCTCGCCGTTGCTGTGGTCCTCCTCCTCCTCCTCCTCCTCCTCCTCATCCTCCTCATCCCCTTCCTTCTCTGCTCCTTTCGTAATTGTCCGTTTCCCCTCTCCCGCCTCCCTCTTTGCTCCTCTGTGGTCCTCATCCTTGTTCTCCTCCTCCTCCTCCCCTGTTCCCTCTGTGCCCCCCTCCTCCCCTGACCCCGCTGTGCTCCTCATCACTCGTTTCCTCCACCCCTGCTGCCCCTATTGCCCCTGATCTGGCATCTTGGATGTCTCGTGGGGCTGACGACGACTTCTTGAAGGCGTCGTGAAGTCCTTCTGTGGGGCCTAGGGGGGCCCATGTTGGCCCTCGTTGAAGCCTTCTCCATTATCCTCCCTCCTCTCGCCTCCTCCTACTCCCCTTCCCTCTTCCTTCTCTCTCCTCCTCCTCCTCCTCCTCCTCCTCCTCCTCCTCCTCCTCCTCCTCCTCCTCCTCCTCCTCCTCCTCCTCCTCCTCCTATTCCTCGTGGAGCGCCTTGGGAGCGCGGCGTGCCACCTGCATGCGACCACGTGCGTCTGGGCATGATCTTCTGGCGACTCGGGGGGCGACCTGGCACCCTGTGGGCTGTTCTGGAGGTGTCTTGGGGCGGCAGTGGGGCCCCTTGGGCGGTGCGGGCGCGCCTGGGGGGAGCCGCTGAAACCGCCTTGAAGCGGGCAGGTGGTGCTTCTGGGGCTGGGTTGCAGCGTCGGCGAGCTGAAAAATTGGAACCCCGCAGAAAACTCGGAAACCTGAGGAAGACCGGTGCGTGCTGCATGCTGGGGGTTTTGGGGGGCGCCGTCTGGGAACCCTCTTGGAGCGTCTGGGGGGGGCATCTCTGGGCCGCCTGGAGGCCTTCGTGGAGCGCCTTGGGAGCGCGGGGGGGCCATACGAAGACAGCCACAAGCGTCCGGGAGTGATTTTCGAGCGAACCGGAAGCGACTCGGGGCTCCCGGGGCGCCTCTGGAGCACCTCTGGGACCCCCCGGCCCCCTCATGCGCTGTCGGGCCCTGGCCCCGGGCCTCCAGGCGTCTCGTGGACGGGGATATGGAGGAGAGAAAGAGAGAGAGAGAGAGAGAGAAAAAAAAAAAAAAAAAAAAAAAAGGGGAGGGGGGGGGGGGGGCATGCATGCCCTGCAGGCAGGAGATTCAGGACCCGTCGTGCTTGAGACGGGGCTTCCGCCCGAAGGGCAGGCACATGCGGCGGTCGTTCCCGGGGGGCGCCTCCCGAAGCGAAGCAGAAGGCAGGCAGGGACGCACGAGGGCGTGGACCTGGGGCAAGCGGGTGCACTGCACTCTCGCAAATGCGCCATCGTCTTCCGCGGGTCCTCCTTCTCCGCGTGACCCTCCTCATCCCCCTCCTCCCAGTCCTCTCTCCGCATCCGCTCCGACCTGTCATACTACGATTACACGATACGATGATACCGGAGAAAAGCCCAAATCAAAGTCTTGTTTATGGCTATAGAGCTATGGGGCTATTGGGTTATAGGGCGATGGGGCTATGAGGCGATAGGGCTATGGAACTATAGGGCTATTGGGCCATAGAGCTATAGGGCTGTAGGTCTATAGGGCTATAGGGCTATAGGGATATAGGGATATAGGGGGAAGGGCCGTGAAGCTATAGGGCGTTAGGGAGCTATAGGGCATAGGGGGTATGGGGCTTTGGGGCTATGGGGCTATGGGGCTACAGGCCATAGGGCTACGAGTCTGTAGGACTATGGGGCTATGGGGCTATAGGGCTATAGGGCTATAGGGATACAGGGCTATGGGGCTACATGATGTTAGGCATATAGAGCTATAGGGCTATAGGGCTGTAGGACTATAGGACTATAATGTTATAATGCGATAGGGCTATAGGGCTATAAGGCTATAGGGATATAGGGCTATAGGGATACAGGGCTATTGGGCTATTGAGTTATAGAGCTATAGGGCCATAGGGCTATAGGATTAAAGAGCTATTGTGCTATTGGGCTATTAGGGCTATGGGGCTATAGGGCTACATGGCTACAGGGCTATAGAGCTATAGGGCTCTGGGGCGTTAGAGCTATAGGGCTGTAAGGCTACAAGGCTATTTAGGGCTATAGGGCTATAAGGCTATTGGGCTATAGGGCTATTGGGCTATGGGGCAGTAGGTCTATAAGGCTGTAGGTCTATAGGGCTATTGGGCTATAGGGCTACTGGGCTGTAGGACTATAGGGTTATAGGGCTATAGGGCTATAGGGCTATAGGGCTATAAAGCTATAGGGATATTGCGCTCTGGGGCTGTAGGTCTATAGGGCTATAGGACTATAGGGCTATTGGGCTATTGGGCTGTAGGTCTATGAGGCTGTAGGGCCGTGGGGCTATGTGGCTATAGGGCTATAAGGCACCCGGGCACTCGGGCACCCAGGCGGGCCCCAGAAATCGGTGGCAAACCTCACCTAACCATATGCATCCGCTGGGACCCCTACAGAGGCAAGCTCTGATTGGAAAAATCCAAGGGCTCCCAACTTCGCGCTTCGCGCTGCGCGAAGCGCGAAGTGCGAATAACTTCGCGCCCTCGCGCCGCCTCCCAGGGGAGAGGAGGACGGTGAGGAGGAATCGGAGCCGAACCGCGAAGCGCAAATAACTTCGCGCCCTCGAGAGCGCCCTTTGGAATACTACTCTCCTCTCTCCGCTGACTCTGCCTGGAAAGTCTCCCGTCCTTCACTCGAATCTCATGTTTTGTTCCTATTCCTGTGTTTTTGTTCCGTATGGTCGGTTGCGGTTCTTCCAAGATCATGCTCCCGCTGCAGCGTCGCCCTCATTTCCGCGCTTCGGTCATTCAAAATCGTGCTCCCGCTGCAGCGCTGACCTCGTTCCCGTGCCTCCGGTTGTTCCACATCGTGTTCCCGCAGCTGCTCTGGCGTGCTCGGTCCTTCCAAGTAGCGCTGTCGACTGAGCGCTGGCCTCGTTCCCGTGCTGCGGTCCTTCCGAACCGTGCTCCCGCTGCAGCGGTGGTCTCATTCCCGTTTTCGGTCCTGGAATCGGCATCTGGTGCCATGCCACGGCATGCAATGCGATGCTGTGTTGTGCACCGCTGTGCGATGTCATGTTTTGCGTTGTTATGCTTTGTGATGCAATGCTTCACTACGCAATGCCACGCCACGCTATGACATGCTATGCTCTGCCGTGCTCTTCTCCGCCATGCTTTTCCATCCATCGCGTATCCTCTTCGGATCATTGCCCTTCTCGACATCCGACTGTGGGAATATAGATAAGAGATCCATGCCATGGTAAGGGATGGGAGGGAGCGGTGGGACGTCAGATGTGACGCTAACGCACCTCGCTTGCCATTCTCCTCTCTCCTCATCTCCCCCCTCCTCCTCCTCCACCTCCTCCTCCTCCTCCTCCTCCTCCTCCTGCTCCTCCTATTCCTCCTTCTCCTCCTCCTCCTCCTCCTCCTCCTCCTCCTCCTCATCCTCCTCCTCCTCCCTTCGCCTTCTCATCCATTCTCCTCCTCGTCATCCTGGTCACGTCTCCGTCATTCTGCCTCATCGTCCTCCTCAACTTCCTCCTCCTCCTCCTCCTCCTCCTCCTCCTCGTCATCACCATCGCCATCATCATCACCATCACCATCACCATCACCATCACCATCATCATAAGCATCATCTTTTTTATCATCATGATCATCGCCGTCGTCATCGTCAGCATCATCAGCAACAACAGCATCATCATCATCATCATCATCATCATCATCATCATCATCATCATGATCATCATCGTCATCATCATACTCATCATACTCATCATACTCATCATCAGCAACATCACCATTACCATCATCAACAGCCGCATCATCATCAACCCGTCATCATCATCATCCTCATCTTGATCATCATCAGCAGCATCATCATCGTCATCCTCATCAGCATCAGCATCATCAGTATCACCAGCAGCAGCAACAGTGGTACGGTCATCCTCGTCGTCATCAGTGTCATGATTATTATCAGCATCATCATACTCATAACCAGCATGAGCATCATCATCGTCATCAGCGTCATCATCTTTATTATCATCATCATCATCATCAGCATCATCATCATCATCATCATCATCATCATCATCATCAGCATCATCATCATCATCAGCGTCATCATCAGCACCATCATCCCTCCATCATGAGTACCCTTATCCCTAGATCCCTCCATCCTCCTCATCCTCCTCCTCCTCCTCCTCCTCCTCCTCCCCCCCCCCCTCATCCTCCTCGTCGTGTCCAGACCGCACGGCCCTTGTGGCGGCGAGGTGGGCAGCGGCTGGACGGCGCCTATGGAGGGGGGGGGGGGGCAAACAATAGCAGGCGCAGCACTCATCATCTTCCTGTTCCTCCTCCTCTTCCCCTTCCTCTTCATCCTCCTCCTCATCAGCATCATCATCAGCAGCAACAACACCACCATCATCAACAGCATCATCACCATCAGCATCATCACACTAATCCTCATGAGCATCATCATCATCATCGCATGCATCGTCGTCATCATCATCATCATCAGCCGCATCAGAATCATCATGATCAGCATCAGCAGCAGCATCAGCATCAGCAGCATTATCCTCATCATCAGCAACAGCATCATCATCATCAGCATCAGCATCATCATCATCATCATCATCCTCATCCTCATCCTCATCCTCATCCTCATCCTCATCCTCATCCTCATCATCATCATCATCATCATCATCATCATTATCAGCAACATCATCAGCATCATCACCACCACCACAATCACCATCGTCATCACCATCGGCAACAGCATGCTCATCATCCGAATCATCATAATCATCGTCGTGATCGTCTTCATCATCGTCATCGTGACCATCAACACCGTCATGATCATACACTCATCATCGTCATCAGCAGCATCACCCTCATCAGCAGCATCATCGTCATTGGCATCGTCATCATCATCGTCATCATCGTCAGCGTCATCATGATGATGGTGATCATCAGCATCACCATCATCAGCAGCAGCATCGTCATCGTCATTGTCATCATGATCATCATCACCATCAGCATAATCATCCTCATCATCATCACCCGTACCACCATCATCATGATCATCGCCGTCGTCATCGCCAACATCATCAGCAACAACAGCATCATCGTCGTAATATGCATCGTCATTATCATCAACAGCATCAGCATCATCCTCCTGATCATCATCAGCAGCAGCAGCAGCATCATCATCATCACCATCATCATCATCATCATCGACAGCATCATCGTCATGTTCATCGTCAGCATTATCATCATCAGCATCATCATCATCATCATCATCATCATCATCATCATCATCATCATCATCATCATCGTCTCGTTCCTCATCTGATTCCTCATTCCGCCCCCTGTTCTCTTCCTCCTTATCATCCTGCTACGCCCTTTTTTCCCGCAGCATTGTTCATCCACCTCCTCCTTCTCCTCAGCTGGCTCCTCCTCGTCCTGCTCCCCCCCCTGCTCCCCCTCCTCCTCCTCCTCCTCCCCCACCTCATCCTCCTCATCCTCCTCCTCCTCCTCTTCCGTCTTCTCCTCCTCCTCCCTCTCGCAACTATCAGCATGATCATCACCATCCTCATCCCCATCAGCATCCTCATCTTCATCCTCAGTATCATCCTCAACCTCCTCAACACCATCATCATCATCATCATCATCATCATCATCAGCATCAGCATCATCAGCATCATCAGCATCATCATCATCATCATAATCATCGTCATCCTCATCAGCATCGTTATCATCATCATTCTCAGCAGCAGCATCACCATCAGCATCAGCAGCAACAGCATAATAGTCATCATCTGCATCGTCACCATCATACGTAATCATCATCATCATCATCCTCATCATCCTCGTCATCATAATCATCATCATCATCATCAGCATCAGCATCAGCATCAGCATCATCATCATCATCATCATCATCCTCATCATCATCGTCATTATCATCATCGTCATCCTCAGCATCAGCAGCATCGTCGTCGTCGCCACCGTCCCGCCGCCACCATGACCCACCCTGTCGGCACCTGCGCTTGGAACCCCCTGCTGGCGCTACCTGAAGGAGCTGCCCCTGCGCGCCGCCGTCGGCTGCCCGCACGGCGCCTCGCGCTCTGGCCGCTACGTGCCGCGGCTGGCGCCGCCCTCCAGGTCGGTGACCCGCGGCCGCTCCCGAGCGAGGGCCCCCGTGCGCATGCGGCCGTGCCTGGCCGGTGCTGCACGGAGCACGACGACTGGTGCCCTGCGGCTGGCGCTTAGCCACGTCGCGCAGCACGTCGCAATGGCAACCACGTCGCGCAACGAAATTACGACGCCTCGGACGTATCGGTCGCCGTGCCTGGCTGGTATTGCACGGAGCACTACGACTGGTGCATGGTGCCCTGCGGCTGGCGCTTAGCCACGTCGCGCAGCACGTCGCATTGGCAACCACGTCGCGCAACGCACGGCGCCTAGGACGTATCGGCCGCCGTGCCTGGCCGGTGCTGCACGGAGCACGACGACTGGTGCCCTGCGGCTGGCGATTAGCCACGTCGCGTAGCACGTTGCAGTGGCAACCACGTCGCGCAACGAAATTACGACGCCTCGGATGTATCGGCCGCCGTGCCTGGCCGGTGCTGCACGGAGCACTACGACTGGTGCCCTGTGGCTGGCGCTTAGCCACGTCGCGCAGCAAGTCGCAGTGGCAACCACGTCGCGCAACGCACGGCGCCTGGGACGTATCGGCCGCCGTGCCTGGCCGGTGCAGCACGGAGCACGACGACTGGTGCCCTGCGGCTGGCGCTTAGCCACGTCGCGCAGCACGTCGCAATGGAAACCACGTCGCGCAACGAAATTACGACGCCTCGGACGTATCGGTCGCCGTGCCTGGCTGGTATTGCACGGAGCACTACGACTGGTGCATGGTGCCCTGCGGCTGGCGCTTAGCCACGTCGCGCAGCACGTCGCATTGGCAACCACGTCGCGCAACGCACGGCGCCTGGGACGTATCGGCCGCCGTGCCTGGCAGATGCTGCACGGAACACGACGACTTGTGCCCTGCGGCTGGCACTTAGCCACGTCGCGTAGCACGTCGCAGTGGCAACCACGTCGCGCAACGAAATTACGACGCCTCGGATGTATCGGCCGCCGTGCCTGGCTGGTGCTGCACGGAGCACTACGACTGGTGCCCTGTGGCTGGCGCTTGGCCTTGTCGCGCAGCAAGTCGCAGTGGCAACCACGTCGCGCAACGCACGGCGCCTTGGACGTATCGGCCGCCGTGCCTGGCCGGTGCAGCACGGAGCACTACGACTGGTGCCCTGCGGCTGGCGCTTAGCCACGTCGCGTAGCACGTCGCAGTGGCAACCACGTCGCGCAACGAAATTACGACGCCTCGGACGTATCGGCCGCCGTGCCTGGCCGGTGCTGCACGGAGCACTACGATTGGTGCCCTGTGTCTGGCGCTAGCCACGTCGCGCAGCACGTCGCATTGGCAACCACGTCGCGCAACGCACGGCGCCTAGGACGTATCGGCCGCCGTGCCTGGCCGGTGCTGCACGGAGCACGACGACTGGTGCCCGGCGGCTGGCGCTTAGCCACGTCGCGTAGCACGTCGCAGTGGCAACCACGTCGCGCAACGAAATTACGGTGCCTGGGACGTATCGGCCGCCGTGCCTGGCCGGTGCTGCACGGAGCACTACGACTGGTGCCCTGTGGCTGGCGCTAGCCACGTCGCGTAGCACGTCGCAGTGGCAACCACGTCGCGCAACGCACGGCGCCCAGGACGTATCGGCCGCCGTGCCTGGCCAGTGCTGCACGGAGCACGACGACTGGTGCCCTGCGGATAGAGCTTAGCCATGTCGCGTAGCACGTCGCAGTGGCAACCACGTCGCGCAACGAAATTACGGCGCCTCGGACGTATCGGCCGCCGAGACTGGGCGGTGCTGCACGGAGCACTACGACTGGTGCCCTGTGGCTGGCGCTTAGCCACGTCGCGCAGCACGTCGCATTGGCAACCAAGTCGCGCAACGCACGGCGCCTGGGACGTATCGGCCGCCGTGCCTGGCCAGTGCTGCACGGAGCACGACGAATGGTGCCCTGCGGTTGGCGCTTGGCCACGTCGCGTAGCGCATCGCAATGGCAACCACGTCGCGCAACGAAATTACGGTGCCTGGGACGTATCGGCCGCCGTGCCTGGCCGGTGCTGCACGGAGCACTACGACTGGCGCCCTGTGGCTGGCACTTAGCCATGTCGCGTAGCACGTCGCAGTGGCAACCACGTCGCGCAACGAACGGTACCTGGGACGTATCGGCCGCCGTGCCTGGCCGGTGCTGCACGGAGCACGACGAATGGTGCCCTGCGGCTGGCTCTTAGCCACGTCGCGCAGCACGTCGCAGTGCGACCACGTCGCGCAACGTGCCTGGGACGCCTCGGACGCATCGGCCGCGGCAACAGACACCCAGATGCGACTTTGCCGTGCGCTCCCTGGAGCCCCTAGCAAAGAATCCTCGTGGCTTCGCTGTTCGATGGCTTTCTCAGTGCCCCCGTAGTCGGCTGGCACGCAAGGCAGTCAACCCGTATAACACGGACGCACGGGGAGGGTGCAAGGGCTCCTGGAAGGCCGCGCCGGCACTCTGAGGAGCGGGGCGCGGCAGGGCGCAAGCGGCCAGAGGGAGGGGCCGAAGGGGGAAGACTGCAGGGGCAACCCTGGAAAGTTTTGCTCGTCCTTGCTACGCGGCTGGACTGTAATGGTGCCCTTTGGTTGGGAGCGCAACAACCTACTGTTCGGGGCCCCGTGTTCTTGCTTGTAGCAAATCCGCCGACCCCCGCTTGTCGGGGGTACAAGAGCGTGTGAGATGGTTGGCTTTCCCCCTCCCCCTGTCCTCCTCCCCTGGACATCCAAATCGCGTCAGAGGGGGGACCCAGGCGGGGGGTGTGAGGGGGGGGGGGCGAGCTCCTAAACGAACCCCCAGTGCCCACCAAATCCACAATCCATGGCCTCCAAAATGCCCACAGTTCCGTCTAAACTTGCTCAAGCTGGGCTCCAATACGCCTGAGAGGCCTCAAAACCAATTTGGATAGCCCCAAGACAGCCTAAGAAGCCTCCAGGATGCACCATGATAGCTCCAAGAGGATTCCCAAGAGGGTCCCAAGAAGCCAAAATAATCGCCCCAACCCCTACACAAAACGTGCATTTGTTGCATAATCGCTTTCTTAGTCTTGGCAGCGTCCAAGACGCCCAAGGGGCCCCAAATGTCGTCCCAAGATGGCCCATGAGGCCCCCAAGAGGGCCCCAAGACAGCCCAAGAAGGCTCCAAGACGGGCCCCAAGGGCCCCCAAGACGGACTAGGAGAGCCGCCAAAGGGGTGGAATGCGAACTGGCGTGCTGAGCCGTGTCCCCCAAGGTGGCTCCAAGGGCCCCCCCGAGGCGCCCTGGAAACCTAAAGCACCCTTCATGGATGATCATGTGTGGCTGTAAGGCGTCAGTCCGTGCAGATGGTGCGAACGTCAGCGCGCAGGCATAGGGGGCGCGCGTGCCTCGCGGGCCCACATGGCAGCGGGCATGTAAAAAGAATATCCTGCAGCCCCCAACTAGCAACCCTTCCAGTCAGGAGGCATCCCCAAGAGGCCCCAAGAGGCCTCCAAGAGGCCCCCGAGAAGTCCCCAAGAGGCCACTGAGAGGCCCCAAGAAGCCCTCGAGGTGCCCCCAAGAGCTGTCCAAGAGGCCCCTGAGGGGCATCCCAGGAGGCCTGCATGTGCATCCAAGAGTCTCCTGGCCCACAGCCCAGGCGCGGTGGCGGGCTGGCCCGAAGGCCACTAGATAACTTCCGCGACCCTCGCAAATGGTCATTCCTTCTTGGGGTCGGCGGATTGGCACGAGCCACTTGAATAAAGCTGAAGATGCATTCACCGATACACATGTGCCATGACCTGTGCACGAGCCTCGAGCGGGGCGCCAGGACAGGGCGCGACAGAAGGGCCGCGCCATGATAATCCAGAACCGTTGGGTGTCGATGGCGCCTTAGGGTCGTGTTGGGGCCTGTTGTAGGTGCATGCCGTGGAGCTACTTCCGCCGAACAGTTGGAGATCCCAGAACAAGCAGCCACGAATGCCTCAGGGTACTAGCTGGTCTTCGTGACCGACGTGCACCCTTTGCGCACTCTTTGTGACCTCTTGGAAGGAGAAGCGAGGAGTATGTGAAAGAGGGAGGGTGAAAGAGAAGAAGGGGGAAGATGCAGAACAAATTGTGGACATGCAAGAGAACGAGGAGGAAAGATCAGGAGAGGGTGAGCAGGAGAAGCAGGATGAGCAGCAGGAAGCTAAGTATGCCGAGGATGCCTGCGGCGAGCCATCGCCGCCCCCTTGCAAGGAGCTTGTGGCCAAACGCTGTGAAAACGCAACGCACGTGCGGCCGATAATCGGAACAAAAACTTACTCGACCGTGGTTGAATTCAGAAGGCCCGGCTGGGCCATCTTAAAACTGTCTCGGGGCTCAATTTCGGGAGCGGCCAAGAAGGGGGTGTCCAAGAGGGGGGGGTGCAAGTCATGACCGGCGGCATGTGCGCGGCCCAGCGGGTGGGCCAGGGACGTAATGAAATGAGAAGAGGCGCCATGAAATCTGAGGAATCATCATGACCCACGCCATGATATCCACCCCCCCCTAGTCATCACCCCCCTCTTTGCCGCCCCCGACATTTAAGGGCTCTCCTGGGCCTTCTCCTGGAACAGTCCTGGAGCTCGCTTGGAACCCACTTGGGCCGTCCTGGGGCACTCCTGGGTCGCTGTGGGCCCTTCTCAGGTAGGTCGTGAGGCCAGCTGGGCACCCTCGCGGACCGCCTGGGGCCGTCTGGGGGCGATCTTGGGGGGCATCCTGGGCCGTCTGAGACGCCACACTCCCGTGGCAGCCAACCCTATGGTTGAGACGATGGGCCAAGGCACAGTGCAGAAGTTCCACAAGGAACGATGCGGCACTTGTGGATTACCCTACAGCTGTTGAGACCGAACACATTACAAGATCAAAGCCCCTCAAAAATCGAAGGAGAATCAAGCATGTGTCCCTTCAGGGGCCCCGTGGGAGCGTTCTTGGACCGCTCTTGGGCCATCTTGGGAACCTCTGGGGCAGTCCGGGCCTTCCTGGGATGTGCTGGGGTCCACTCAGGCTGCCTTCTGGGCATCTCGGGCCGTCTTGGTGCGATCTGGGCCGCCTTTGAAAGCGGCCTTGTGGTCGGATTCCCGGTCCCTGGGCCCCGGTCCCTTGGCCCCGTACCCCTGTACTGTTGCCCAGGTTTCGGCGCGGGAGGCCCTGGCCCCCGATACCAGAAAGACGAGTGAGTGCACGCATGCAGCTCACACTCAACCTGACCAGTTGCGATGATTGTCGCCATCATCACTAACGCCACCACCACCACCATCATCATCGTCACCACCATCATCCACGTCGTCATCACTGTCGACAACTAAACCATGGTCATCCGCATGTTTTTGCAGTGAGTGGACTGCAAGATCTGGGGCCTGCAGAGTTCCATCATCCGCAGCTTCTCATTCCTCCCTCTCCTCCTGCTCCTGCTACTGGCCCTCCTCCTCAGCAGCAGCAGCATCAGCATCACCAACATCACCAGATTCGTCCTCATCACCACCAACCTCATCATCATCATCATCATCATCATCATCATCATCAGCATCATCATCATCATCATCATCATCATCATCATCATCATCATCATCATCGTCATCATCATCATCATCACCATCATCAGCATCAGCATCATCTTCATAATCACCAGCATCGTCATCATCAGCATCAGCATCATCATCATAATAATCAGCATCAGCATCCTCATCATCATAATCATCATCATCATCATCATCAGCATCATCATCATCGTCATCATCAACCTCACTTCATCATCATCATCATCACCCTCATCACCAGCATCATCATCAGCATCAGAAGCAGCATCATCACCATCATCATCAGCAGCAGCATGATCAGCATCATCATCAGCAGCATCATATTCATCAGCATCACAGTCATCATCATCAGTATCATCAGCATATCCATCATCATCATCATCATCATCCACATCGTCATCATCATAATCATCATCATCATCATCATCATCATAATCAGCATCATCATCAACATCGTCATCATCAGCATCATCAGTTCCAGCATCATCATCATCACCGCCATCATCAGCATCATCGTCATCATCAGCATCATCATCATTATCAGCAGCATCATCACCGTACTCTGCACCATCAGCGTCATCCTCACGTCCCTCCTCCTAAACATCGTCATTAGACTCAAAATCACCGTAACCATCGTCATCCTCATCCATATCATCATCATCCTCCTCCTCATCATCAGAAGCAGCATGATCATAAACATCAGCATCAGCATAAGCAGCAGCAACATCATCAACATCAGCATCAGCATCAGCATCATCATCATTTCATCACCATTCCATCATCATCACCATCACCATCACCATCACCATCACCATCACCATCACCACCATCATCATCAGCAGCATCAGCATCAGCATCCGCACCATCATCATCACCATCACAATCACCATCACCATTACCATCACCATCAGCATCAGCATCAGCATCAGCATCAGCATCAGCATCATCATCATCATCATCATCATCATCATCATCATCATCATCATCATCATCATCATCATCATCATCATCATCCTCTTCATCTTCAAATCCCTCGTTCCCTCCTCCTGGCCTCCTCCCCCTGGGAGGCAGGGGGCGTTCTTGTCGCCGCTCGGCCGTCGGCCGGGGGATCGACGGCGCCCGCCGCGTCCGCCGAGCGCTCGTCCAGCTCGTGGAGCACCTGGGTCAGCACCGCCGCCACGTAGCCGCGGAAGACCGTCCCGTCCACGCGGACGTCGGGAGGGATGCCCTCCTCGACGACGAGGAGTGGGAGGTGGAGGAGAGGAGGGATGGAGTGATGGAGGAATGGAGGGATGGAGGGGGAGGGATGGAGGGATGAAGGCGAGGAGGAGGAAGAGGCGCCTCCTCGCACCGCGGCGCGGCGCTCGCGCGCCAGATGCCGCCCGCTCGGATGCCGCCCGCTGGGCACGGGCACGGCCGGCCGGCGAACCGCAGCCCGAGCCGGAGCAGCAGCAGGGGCCACCTAATCGCGCCTGGCCTGGCCAGACGAGCGCCGAGAGGGGCACGGGGGTGGTGATGGGGAGCAGGAGGGCGCGGCGAAGGAAAGGGGTGGTGAGGGGCGGAGGCGCACGAAGACAGGGCAGGAGCAGCTACAGAGCCAGGAGTCCGGTGGCTGGTCCTGCCAATTAACCGAATTTTTGCCATGCAGCATGCGCCGACCGACGGCCATCACGGGAAGGACGGCCGTCCCTGGCCGACAGCGGGACGGCGCAATGGAAAACCGTGCCGCCTTCGAGCGGCACCATCCTTATCGGAGGGACAGGGGGAGGAGGAGGAGGAGGAGGAGGAGGAGGAGGAGGAGGAGGAGGAGGAGGAGGAGGAGGAGGAGGAGGAGGTGGAGGAGGAGGAGGAGGAGGAGGAGGAGGAGGAGGAGGAGGAGGAGGGGGACCAGCGAGTGAATGATTTCTTCGTTTGGTTGCCGTAACCAGCTGAACTTGACACCCCTTGCGCATCGCGCGACTCTCAGATCAGCATGTCGAGAATGATGGGATTGGCACGAAAGGGTTCGCTGCGCATCCCATGTGCCTTGCCGTCGTGATCGCCACCATCGTCACCATCATCGTTATCCTCATAGTCGTGTCTACCGTTGTCGGCGTCGCCATGGTACCGCGCCCGCCCACAACACCGACTCGCACTGAAGTGTCCGTTGGGCAATGTCCAGCGGTCAGCGCCACCGCGGCCGCGCTGGTCGCCCCAAACTAGCTGGCCGCTGCGCGCGCGGGCATGCGCGGGTTAGCGCGGCCACAGAGATGCACCAGCCAACGCCAAGCACTCATCGCAATCGCCGCCGCATGCGTTGCCAACCAAGTTGCGGGTGGGTGGGTGAAATCCTTGCAAGAGCATGCAAGTTGTCAACTGTTTTCAAAAATCGATTCTCCTTTCTAAAAAGAATAGACTCTACCCCCCCGCCCCCCGGCGTTATCCGCCCCCCTTTCGGTATGTAAACCATATACGATTCTGACCACATGTTCATCCTAAATATAAATTTACACTATCCCGGAAAGTTCCACTGTAAAAACAATACGCGGGGACATCTTCTGTTCTGACATAACACTTGTTCACGAATCCCTTCCAACAAATGGACGAAGTGCACACGCGCGCGTCGTCGCGCGCGCATGCCGAAATTCTTCAAAAACTTCGGTGCCGGAAGGTTTTCGCAATCGAGTGTCCAAAACAACATACAAAAACACATGGTTTCGCAACACTGATTTGCTAAAAAAACTTCCGCGCGAGCTCTTGCGAAATCTTGAGAAAACCATAGGGTTTTCAAGATTTTCACAACATGCTATTCAACCGGCTTCGCGCGCGCATGTCGAAATCTGTCGAACGCCCTTGCGCGTGTGCCCTCGCGAGAACCCCTGCAAAAAAAATAACGAAGTGCAGACGCGCGCGTCGTCGCGCGCGCATGCCAAAATCCTTCGAAACCCATCGTTTTCGGAAGGATTTAAAAATCGTGTTCAACAAACCTACAAAAACCCAAGGCTTCGCAACACGGATTTTCAACAAAAGCGTGCGCGCGCGCTCTTGCGTCGTCGTCATCGTCGTCGCCGTCCTCCCTCCTCCCGCGTCGTCGTCGTCGTTGTCGCCAACGTCGTCCTGGCTTTTCTCGTGTTCGTCGTCGTCGTCCTCTTTGGCGTCGTGGTCGTTTCCGTCGTCGTTGTCGCCGTGGTCGTCCTTCCTCCTCTTCCTTCGCCGTCGTCGTCGTCCGTCGTCCGCGTCTCGTCGTCGTTCCTCCTATTTCGTCGCCGTCGTCGTTGTCGTCGTCGTCTTCCCTCCTCCCTCGTCGTTGTCGTCGTCGGCGTCGCCGTCCTTCCTCCTTCTTCGTCGTTCGCGTCGTCGCCGTCCTCCCTCCTCCATCGTCGTTGTCGTCGTTGTCGTCGTTGTCGCCGTCGTCGTCCTCCCTCCTCCCTCGTCGTCGTCTTCGTTGGCGACGTCATCATCGTCTTCGTCGTCGTCGGCGTCGGCGTCGTCGTCGTTTTCGTCGTCGTCGACGTCGGCGTCGTCGTCGTCGCCGCCGTCGTCGTCGTCGGCGTCGTTGACGTCGTCGTCGTCGTCGTCGTCGGTGCCGTCGTCGTCGTCGGCGTCGTCATCGTCGTCGTCGTTGTCATCGTCGTCGTCGTCGTCGTCGTCGGCGTCGGCGTCGTCGTCGGTGTCGTCGTCGTTGCCGGCGTCGTCGAAGTCGTTGGAGACGTCGTCGGTGTCGTCGTAGTCGTTCGTTGTCGGCGGCGTCGTCGTCGTTGTCGCTGTCGTCGTCGGCGTCGCTGTCGCTGCCAAGTGCCATCTGGTACCCGCCGTCACTGTCTTAAGAGGTCTTGCGACCAAGTTGCGGGTGGGAGGGTGGGATGTTTGCGCGAGCAGTGGAGGTGGTCAAGCGCGGTGCAGGGTAGTCAATTCTTCTTTCTAAAAACAGGATAGGATCTACCCCCCCCCGGTATCGACATCCTTTTCGGGTATGTAAATCATGTATGATTACGACCACATGCCCATCCTAACTATGAATTTACACTATCCCAGGCCAGCTAATCTTTTTCACGAATCCCTTGCAAAAAAAACACGAAGTGCACACGCTCGCGTCGTCGCGCGCGCATGCCGAAATCCTTCAAAAACCTGCGGTGCCGGAACGATGTCGCAATCGAGTTCCGAAAAAACATACAAAAACACATGGTTTCGCAACACTGATTTGCTAAAAAAGTTTCCGCGCGAGCTCTTGCGAAATCTCAGGAAAACCACAAGTTTTTCAAGATTGTCACAAAATGCTATTAAACGGGCTTCGCGCGCGCATGTCGAAACCTGTCGAACGCCCTTGCGCGTGTGCCGTCGCGAGAACCCTCTGAAAAAAAAAAAAAAAAAAAAAAAAAAAAAAAAAAAAAAAATGCAGGCGCGCGCGTCGTCGCGCGCGTACGCCGAAAACCTTCAAAACCCATCGGTTTCCGGAAGATTTCAAAATCGTGTGTCCAATAAACCTACAAAAACACAAGGTTTCGCAACACGGATTTTCAACAGAAGCGTGCGCGCGCGCTCTTGCGTCGTCGTCGTCGTCGCCGTCCTCCCTCCTCCCGCGTCGTCGTCGTCGCTGTTGTCCTCTGTCTTTCCTCGTGTTCGTCGTCGTCGTCCTCGTTGGCGTCGTGGCCGTTTCAGTCGTCGTTGTCGCCGTGGTCGTCTTTCCTCCTCCTCATCCCTCGTCGTCGTCGTCCGCCGTCCGCGTCTCGTCGTCGTCCCTCCTATCTCGTCGCCGTCGTCGTCGTCGTCGTTTTCCTTCCTCCCTCGTCGTTGTCGTCGGCGGCGTCGCCGTCCTTCCTCCTTCTTCGTCGTTCGCGTCGTCGCCGTCCTCCCTCCTCCCTCGTCGTTGTCGTCGTTGTCGTCGTTGTCGCCGTCGTCGTCCTCCGTCCTCCCTCGTCGTCGTCTTCGTTGGCGTCTTCGTTGTCGTCGTGGTCGTCGTCGTCGTTGTCGTCGTTATCGTCGTCGGCGTCGTCGTCGTCGGCGTCGTCGTCGTCGTTGTCATCGTCGTCGTCGTCGGCGTCGTCGTCGTCGTCGGGGTCGTCGTCGTCGCGGTCGCTGTCGTCGTCGAAGTCGTTGGAGACGTCGTCGGTGTCGTCGTCGGTGTCGGCGGCGGCGCCGTCGTCGTCGTCGCTGTCGTCGTCGTCGTCGGCGTCGCGGCCAAGTGCCATCTGGTACCTACCGTCACGGTCTTGTCTGAAGAGGTCTTGCGACCAAGTTGCGGGTGGGAGGGTGGGATGTTTGCACGAGCAGCGGAGAGGACAGCTTCAAGTTGAGCAAGTGATTGATTCTCCTTTCTAAAAACAGAATAGGATCTACCCCCCCCCCGGCATTATCATTCCCCCTTTCGGGTGTGTAAATCATATATGTTTCTGACCACATGTCCATCCTAAGTATGAATTTGCACTATCCCCGGGGGGCTGGTATCCCCCCCCGGAGGTTCCCTTGAACAAAAAAACGCTATACGGTGACATTCTTGGTTCCAACATAACTCGCGAACCCCTTGCAAAAAATGGGACGAAGTGCAGACGCGCGCGTCGTCGCGCGCGTATGCCGAAATCCTTCACAACCCATCGGTGTCGGAAAGACTTCGCTATCGAGTTCCCCCCCAAAAAAACATACGAAAACATAGGGTTTCGCAACACTGATTTGCTAAAAAAGTTTCCGCGCGAGCCCTTGCGAAATCTTAAGGGAAACCACAAGTTTTTCAAGATTTTCACAAAATGTTACCAAACGGGCTTCGCGCGCACGCATGTCGAAATCTGTCGAACGTCCTTGCGCGTGTGCCGTCGCGAGAATCCTCTGCAAAAAACGGGACGAAGTGCAGACGCGCGCGTCGTCGCGCGCGTACGCCGAAAACCTTCAAAACCCATCGGTTTCGGAAGGATTTCAAAATCGTGTGTCCAAAAAACCTACAAAAATAAAGGTTTCGCATCACGGATTTTCAACAAAAGCGTGCGCGCGCGCTCTTGCGTCGTCGTCGTCGTCGTCGTCGCCGTCCTCCCTCCTCCCGCGTCGTCGTCGTCGTCGTCGCCTGCGTCGTCCTCTGTCTTTTCTCGTGTTCGTCGTCGTCGTCCTCTTTGGCGTCGTGGTCGTTTCCGTCGTCGTTGTCGCCGTGGTCGTCCTTCCTCCTCCTCCCTCGTCGTCGTCGTCGTCCGTCGTCGGCGTCTCGTCGTCGTCCCTCCTATTTCGTCGCCGTCGTCGTCGTCGTTGTCGTCGTCGTCTTCCCTCCTC